TAAATAAATAAGATATCTAGCCCATTACAAATTGCCTCAACTCGATTTGTTAGAGTTAGAGGATTTTAGATAAATCACATGCTATTTTTGTTGGGGGTGTTCACGCTCTGGATTGGTCTGGTATAGCTCAAACCATGATCAAATCAGATTTAACGGTTAATTTTTTTTCTTGTTCATAACCGTATCGATTTTATTTTTTAACCGACCATAATCCGGACCACATTAGACGGTTCGGTTGGCGGTTAACCGATTAAATCCAAGATCCTTATTTTGGGCCTTCATTTTTATTTTTTTTCATTTTTGACTTAATGTTTATTTTTCAATTTGGGACAAAAGAGATTATTTTGGCCTAATAATTAAGAAAAATAACAATAATAAAACAAAAAATATACAATTCGTCCCATAAGCATAAAAATACACATTTCGTCCCAGAAAATTAGGAAGAGAAGGTGGGGTAAATTAGAAAATAAAAATAAAAGTGGAAAAAAGTAAAAAGTTATAGTGTCTTACAATATTAAGTCAACAAAAGCCAAAAAGTGAAAGTGAATGTATTGTATTTGTCGGCCATAGTGAATGACTGAATGTATATATATATTTGTTATAGTTTTTTAATATTTACCGGTCCATTCCGATTAAACCGGTTGTTTGCCGCAAGTAATCCGTTAGCCAGACCGATTATTTCGGATTTTTAAAAAAAATTAACCACTGGATTTTTTAAGCCTTTTTTAACTGACCATTTAACCGATCCGCGGTCTGAATTGACGGTTTTTTCGGTTAAAACCGGACCGTGAACACCCCTACTATTTTGTATAAAGCTTAAAAGGGTTACCGTGGAGAATATGATTAGAGGATTGCAACTTAAACAAGTATGCGTTTTTGTTCTAGGATTTTGGGGTAAAATTATTCAAATCAAGAGTGATTACAAGATGCTATTGATCTTTTAGACTATATTTTGCATGAGATTCTGATGAGCCATATGGTGATTGAACCGGATCATCGCCCGACAATCCTTTTGGCGATGCAATCTCTTGTTACCCATAAAGTGTTGCGAGTCCCCATTGTAAATCCTCGGACAATCAAATTATTTAATCAGAATACCAAAATATGATTGTGTACATTGATAATAATGTTTTTACTTGTTTTTTGTACCCCTTTCTCGTATTTATATTGCATTATTTACATTTTTTCATGTGATTCGCAACGAAAGGAAAAATGGATTTAATGTGATTAATAGAGTAATGCGATCAACAAATTATATATTGCATATTCATACATTGCTCATTCGATTAACCCTTAGTTAGCTATTATGCTTATTACCTTATAGTTCGATCAGTTTGATCATTTTAAGTAATGTTATTGACTAGAAGACACCACATCATCTAGTCCTACTCAAAACAATATGAACTAGCGAGACTCATTTAAGAGTACAAGTCGGGTCCATGCATCGCCTATGCTGGAGCTTTAAAGCGACACAAGGTTTTGAATGTAGGGGCCAATCATAGAGCACTCTCTACTATTCAAGAGAAGAGCCCTTATAAGTCTCATAGATAGTGTCAATTTGAAGAGTTCTATGTTACATGAACTAGATCCATGCTTGACAATCATTTATGTGATGCAAAATGTGCATGTTTATTCTCGAAATTTAGGTAAAATAATCTAATTTAAAAGTATGCTTAGGAGATGCCTTAAGGATTTGATCTTAGACTATATATTCGATGGATTTGATGAGTCCTATAGTGCCTAATCGACATCCTTTCCCAATTATCCTTTTTGAGACATGAACTTTCATTACATGCAAAGTGTTAGGAGGTCACCGGAGTAAATCATTCGATGAACATGTTTGTTGCAAAAAACAAAACAAAA